TTGGGGTGTTTTTAATTTAGAAAAGTGGCAGTTATTTAGATCACATTTTAAATATAATATTTATAATATTATTTGTTATGATTCGGCATGACCGCTTTCCTACACTGTGCCGCCAGTGCCACCTGTTGGTTCAAAGGTTGACAATCTACAAATAAACGTCACTTAGAAAACGACCAGTACTCTACTGACCTCTGCCGTCAACTTTATAGTACCAGAATTTTTTTTTTGTCCAAATACATTATTAGACAAGTATATTTAGTCAAAATATCCAAGCACCTTCAAATGCAGATTAAACCCAAAACGGCCCACTCCACACAAACATTTTTTAATTGTTGGCTCGAATGGAAAAACTACATTTAAACAGATTAATGTCAGTTGTTTATTGATTTCTGTTGCCCAGGAAAAAATAGATTTTGTCACAAATCTAACATCCAATATAAAGTTACAAAACTCACAAGTTCAGGCTTAGGTGCATTTCTTAAATTGCAGCGAACTACAGTATAGAATTGCAGTTAAAGGAATTGTGCTTGGCCACACAACAGGAAGTGTGTGTCTGTGCCTCAGAGGTCTTTAAGGAGGTCCTGTCCCTGTGGGTTCTCCTTCCAAGTGGGAGGCCAGGACGCTTTGATGCTGGGTCTCTCCTTCAGACACTTATAGTATTTAGCCAGGTGAGGGTAACGTTGTTCAGATAACCTACAGAGCGAGAAACAGTTAGTGCACATGCTTTTCTAAATCGTCTCATTTGCTGTGGGTCAGTCGGTTGACACCATAAATACTATATCATATCACAATGAGATCACTTCCTTCGGGTTAGAGCTCAAGAATATTGCCGAATGAGAGACCAAGTATTTTCAAGAATGTCCGACAAGTAGCTTCCTCCTCCAGATGATATAAAAGAATCTTTGAAGACATGTCAGCTTACTTCAGGTGACTACAGGAACATGACGGTGAAAGAACTTCAAGAAATTAAAGTCTTGTGGTTGCTTCCATTGTTGTCAACAAATCATTTTAATATCCTATAATACTTGAAAGGAAGGAGCATGTTGTTAAATACCTGTAGGACGAATCAATACACATAAATAACGTCTTCAAACTGTGTTTATTGTTCCACAGAGACTGATGTTAGACACAAAAACACTGGACGCATGCGCAAAATTGGCTGCCGTTGTTAGAATTGTAAAGCTGGACAAAGTTTTTCCCTCTATGAAAATGTTAGAGAAAAGGGTTATTTCACAGTACTTTAACTCTCTGATGAAGGTACAAAATGTGACGTTATACTATTTTGGAATGGAGTGCAAGGCTTTTAAACAGGGTATTAGATGTAGCCTTCATGCACATTTACACATTAGAGATCTTTCAGTGTGTCTTGGCCTTTGGGGTTGTCCAGCCAATGAGGAGGCCAGGTGGCTTTGACGCTGGGTCGCTCCTTCAGACAGTTATAGTATTTGGCGAGATTGGGAAAACGCTCTTCTGACAACCTACAGAGTGGAGAACAGCAAACGTTCATGATTTGCTTGTTTTGAATATTGGCCTTTTATCAACGGTGCAATGTATGCAAGACATTAAACCTATGGTTCTCAACACCTGGACAACTGACCAGTAACTGCTTGGACTTTGACCTGATTTACACAGTGGACCAACATAAGGTTAAATGCTGCACATTATAATGACCTCAGAAAAATGGGACACAAAAATATAAGCTGCCCAGTTCTTTTACAAAAATATTTTAGGAACCCTTGATTTAAACAACTTACCCAAAACGAAAGAGATAAGCCACCGCTGGATAAACAATCACATCAGCCAGGGTGAAGTTTTTTCCTGCCAGGCAACAGCACTGGAAAAACAGAAGAGAAATGTGAGCCATGTATGCAGAGTAAACATTTTTTACCAACAGTGATAGAGATCACCACGTAAAAATGTAAACAAACAAACGAGCTTCGTCTTGTAGTCATAAAGTGGTGCTGCCAGAGTGATAACCTAAGTACAGACTCCCAACAGGCATGACTTGCAGTATTAAACATTTACCTATCATGTGTTTCAATGTAACTGATTAATCGTTTTCTGTGTGCCAGGATTGGGGGAGGGAAAAAAGTTTTTTCATTTGGTTTTTTTCATTGTAATTTTCTTAATTTATGTCGCAGTTGTTGGATTCTACCATATAAGATTTTGTACTTACCCCCTGCAGGTATCCTTCCCACAGCTTTATCTCCTCGGCCAGACTCTCCTTGTTCCTCTTGATGGCAGATTCAAGTCTCTCATTCTCTGGGACCTTGTAGTTGTAGTAAATCACATCCACTGAAAGAAAAACAAAAAATAATTTCGACAGTGCAAGACATACATTTAGTGAGTCTTGATTTCACTTCCTCTTGTTAGCAGTGTTATGGTAAAATAGAATGATGATAAAATCTACAGTGCAAAACAAGCATTCCAGTGGGTTTTGTTCTGACTTCCTTTGTATGGCGGAGTAAGGAGGTGCGGTAGGAAAATATGAAGCAACTTAACTTTTTCATCTAAGCTGATAACAGCTCCTCATAACCTGTTTATGGCAAGTAAATCCTTCATTTCAGTTATTGCACCCAAACCCATGACTTCGGGTGCATGCCAGTGTGAACATGTGATTTAAAAGTTGGGTCAAACCATATGACCCTTCAGCATCACTTCTTGCCTGGAGAACTGCAGCAAACACTTAGTCCCTTGTGTGGTAGCTTACTCATGCTAAAGCAGTCATCATATGAGCATGTGTTTTTGAAGAACTAGCTGCCTAATCACCCAAAGGCATACTGCAAAGCCCTCACAGGGGTATTAGTTCATGTTGTTCGAAGCCCCCAGGAGACTGCAGGAGTGGCAACAACAGAATCTTAGGTTTTAAATATAACAGTTATGAACAAAAGAAGTTGAAATATGATTCAAAAAGATATAAGCTAAGACTTACCCATTTTCTGATTGAGGGTGTTGCCCTCAAACAGGCGCTGGTACATCTTGCCCTGTTCTTCAGCGCAGTCAGGGATTAATTTGTTCCCCTGGGACTTGAACTGGCTCTGTTGTTAGAGACATAAAAAAACTTTTTAGAAACAGTCTTTTCTGTTTGTGCATTCTGTGAAATTAAAGGTTGTCGACTCTCTGCACATAATTGCCTATGCAAACCTATTATTACATAAGTGTATGCAAGTTGAACCAGTACTCCTGCAACAATTGTTGTCTAACTTCTTACCTCCAGATACATGCAGGCCCCAAATGACTCGTTCACAATAATGTTCCCATGTTTGAAGGAAGGGAGCTTGAAGGAAGACACAGTTGAAGTTCAAACGTTGTGCAGAAAACGCATGCAAATACAAGGATTTTTTAGTTTTTAGTTTAAACGTTGAGCGTGCAATAAAGCAATCATACCTGTCCCCTGGGGTTCATGGCCATGACCTCCTGTGACTTGTGGTCCATTTTCTCAAAGGAAAGCAGTTTTTGGTTGTAGCCTTGCAGATTTTTCTCCTCTAGTGCGATCATAACCCTCCAACAGGGAGGAGAGCCGGAGCCCCAAAGCAGAGTCATGTCTTTTGCCATGATTTCGGTGGAAGGTTGCAACAACCGAGTGTCAGTTACCAGAGACGTAAAATAAGAGGGAAGAAGACCAGTGAACCTGCAAACTTCCCTACTCCTGATTATATAACAACCAAAGTATGACGCGCGGTAGTTGGGATAGTTAACGCCCTTCCCAAGCTTGGTACCTCCTCCAACGGAACGGTTTTAATAATTCTACACCAGTAAACGGTGTCTCATTGAAAAAAACTTTTATTAATGCAATTTTATTTTTTGTATTCAAACCGGATAAGTACATTAAAGCACCGCAATAATGTGCATTATATCTACAGACGCATGAATCTAAGGCAAAGCCTAGTATGTGATGGAGGGACTTATCTTGCCTTGAGTTCACCTTCTTTGATAGGACAAGCAAAATGGCGAATCGAAAGGCAAAACAGATTTAAACTTATTTAAAAAACATTTAAACCGAAGCTACGTAACATAAAAAAATGGCCATTTACCTAAATAATTAATTTTAAATAACCAATAGCAGTCAGAAAACTAAATCTTGACGTTGCACTGGTATGCGCTGATTCACTGTCATTCAAATAAGCATGAAGTCACCGTGACTAAGCACTTTTCATTCACCCATTGTTTTTTTGATGCACAACAATTAACGACATAATACTGTTAATAATACTATGAACCTATTTATATAGAGTATTAAATTATATATATACATATATGGTATTAAAAATTCAAATAACTTTAATCTCCAAATACTACTTAACACACTTATCTTTTTAAATTACTTAGCCTTCATTTTTTTTAACATTTCACCTCTCATTTATGATTTGAAAAAAAAAATTACAAAGTTAAATGCTGAGAATGTTGTAAAGTCACTATGATTCTACAGGTACCATTTCAACAACTCTTTGACACCAATAACTAAACTTGTTTTCCTCTCCATTAAATATGTATGGGCTCCTCATATCTTATTCAACATACAGTGGTACAGACATACAATACCCAGCAACAAAAGTTTGCAAGAGCTCAGTACAAGTAGTTAAGTAGATTGTGAAAATGAAGTTCCTCCATGGGATATGGAAGCAACAGTTACAAAGTACATTTTTTTAGACTTCAGCAAAATTATGCGTCAGATAGTGTGGCAATTTCCGTTGACCTTAGTCAAAGGCCAGCACTGACTGTATTTTAGTAATTTTGTTTTTACTTTTTATTATTTCACAAGAGAATCTTGAATCAGAGGTGAAATGTCTCCCAGAAACAAAGCCAGTGGATTTGCCTATTTCTAAACCACTTTGAATAAAAAGACCTGACTGACTGACAACCAAAATAAGCCATTAAATAGGAACAAAACGACGCAATAGGATTCATATGTTATGAGTATATGAATGGTGTATAGTCAGCATGATACTGTAACTTCCATATAAACCTGTTCTTAACCTGTAAATAATTTGGCACCTCCCATCGAATTCATGCTGGATGTTTCCAGTGGTAATTATAGACAGCGTTATGTCGCAACAACTATTTGCATAGTTTTTGCACAAACAAAGATTGTATCTGAAGTGTAAACTGTGGAAGTTAGCTTTTGCAATGTATTACTATAATTGCAACTCAATATTTTTTTTGTCTACATCAGTTAAATAAATAAATCAAATCTTAGTTTAGTCTGGTTTAAGGGGCGTACACCTGGGACACTGCATCCATTTGGAATCAGTCACTGCTGACAGCGTCACTATGGGTCGAGGCATGACTCAGCTTATTTTCGCATGACATTTTTCTTTTCAGTTGACAAAACATACAAAAATCAAAACAGAAATCATATATCATCAGTGGAAGAGAACATTTTAACATTGTTTTTGAACAATCTTCAGAGCAGTACAGTATTAATGTGCATTACTGGTTCGTGCTATGGGTCAATAAATAGTTATTTACTTAGATTATGATTTTTTTATCTTGGTATTTCGAATTTTTAAGGTTCAGACCTTGTACCTCATGAATGGAAACTAACATCTAGGATAGCAGGTTTATCACAAGATTTTTTTTTTTTTTTTTACAAATCACTATACTCAAAAACTGCAAACCAAAGTCAGGCACCTGTGTGGAGTTTGAATACACGATTACCCACTGGTTTATGCAAAGTCACAATTACACAGGTGTTTTGAATAACCTCTGTGCAGAGAAAACGCACAACAACTGAGAGTAATTTTTTGCCAAGCAAAGAAACTCCTCTGCCTTTGGGCCAGTGGTGAGCGTGGTGCGGAAGGTTTAAGGTTTGAGTCCACTAGCTGCCAAGTTACCAGAGGTCACATTTGGTTGTGTGCAGTGGTGTGCTGTGTCACAATGACAAGTTCACTTTCCATTATAATGATCAATAAGGAGGCTTTAAACCGGTTTTCACCTAGCATGGTTACTTTGTAAACGTTCAGCAGTAAACAAACAGTGACCTCAATTTCAACCAAACAGTAACAGCTCATATCTTCCATTGAAACAGACATCATTAAGTGCGAATTAGAGATAAGCCGAAAACAAAGCAGGGGGAATACAGCCCAATTCATTGTGTACATAGTTTTTTTCTGCAGAACACCCACATGCCTGTGGGAGTGAGTTCAGCTGTCAGAACGTCTTGTGAGCCACACTTCTCCGCCATAGAGATAAACCAGCTGTAGCAGCTAAGTGCCTCTAAAATATGTCGACATTTGGTTGTCAAACAACAACCAAGCCCACAAACACGACTCTGTCTGAAATAATGACAGAGATTTAGAATGACCACTTCAGTGTGGGCATTCTCAACAACAATATAAACGTGTCTTAAAGCTAATGCTCAACAGGTGTCTGTCTTAACGAACATGCAATACACGATTAATTTGGCTCATTGCAGTGTAATTTATGGTTTTTCATTAAAAGATGCAACAGAACAGTTTACAGACTGCATAATAAACATAATAAAATTCATATTTAAGCCTCTATTCGGAGAAACCCAGGAGACTGTGTTAGTTAAACCCAGTTTTAATGCCAACGCAACTGGGAGCTCATTAACACAACCTGGTGTGCAGTATCACGGAAGTACTCATGGGAAAAACACAAGAGTTCAATTAAAAGCAAACGTGTTTAGTTGCCTCCTCATTATCATTAATTGCGGGTGAAGTTTTATATATATATGGGTTTTAAATCACATGCATTGCAGTGCACAGTATTAACAACAAAGATAGGTCATAGTTTACCTGCAACTGCGTACACGAGCTCCTTTTTGTCGAAGAGGAACGGACTTAATATGTATTCAATGTGTAACTGTAAGGTGCCCCAGCAGATTTTTAGACAAACAGGGCCATCTAGGGTCAACAAGAAGAACTACACATTGAAAGTCCAATTGGAATTATTCAATGTTCGTTTAAAAAATGCATGTGATGTCATGTATTCATAAAAACTCCAAATAAATTGAAAAAAAATAAAATAAACCATCAACTGTTTTTTTTTACTCAAAAGCTTCTGTTTTATTGCAGAATGTGTTTTCACAGCATTTCATTGCAAAGTGTCTCATGTTCAGCTCACGACATAATATTTATGCAGTGAAGACTCTCAGGTTTGGCTGTTTTGTAAAAGGAGCAATCATACAGTACTTCATGTGGGATTTAATACAAGCACATAGTTCATATAGTGCTCCCTTTTTTTCCCTGTTCAGTAACCCACATTTTAAAAACACATTTTAGACGGTCACTACGTCAGTAGTGACCCTTGCTCTTTTGCATGTAATTACAAATCCCAAAACAGCTTCGTTCTATTCTTTCCTCAAGCTATAAAACAACAGAAAAAGTACAAAAATACTACAGAACATGGTACAACATAAACATGCATGCTGTATCTGGCAGCTAGAAAGGGCATTTACACATACTCCTCCGCTCGTTCTTCAAATAGAATAATAAAAATGAGAAACATTCTCAACCATTTGGCTTTTTAAACTTTACAGTCCCACTCAGATGAACACAACATTTTCAGTCAGTTTATTTCCCGAGTGACAGCTCAATATTGCCGAGTAAGGTGCACCATGTTCAAACTTATGGAAATAAATACCGTGATACATCTACGTGTCTCCACAAAAGCGAGAAGTGAGTGAAACGACACAAAGCAACAGCCAAACGGCACTGCCACGTCCCCTTTTTTTTTCTTTCAAAAAACAAAAGGCACAAATTGGATTGGAAAGTTATAACGATGTCTCCCGATCACTGCAGAAGCTAACACCTGTATTGTCACAATAGATTATTATTACTTTTTTCGTCCATCTTTACAACCAAAATTCACAGCTTAAAAGTAGTGAAGTCACAGCTGCAGAAACCCATAAACCCAAGTAGTCCCTCAGGTAAAATGCAGCCTTTAAATATGTCTTTTAAAAAATATAGCTCATTGTAATCGCGGCATCACTGATGCTTCGTTTTATTTACATTTTGCAACATCTTTTTTTTTTTTTACATTCTTAATTATTTTTTTATTACTATTATTTCTCCAGGGATTGTTCGTTTCTTTGTTTGAACACACGCTTTCGTCACTAAGGCAAAAACAAGCAGCTGGCAAACACATACGGCAACATGTAACACGGCTGAGGGAGGAGTGGCATAGAAACCTTCCACAGCAACCAGGGGGACAGTCGGGGAGAGGACGCTCACATTTACGTTTCTAGACAGTCAGTCAGTCCTAAAGCGAGAGCTTCTTCTGGCGTAAGACCGTTCTTCAGAGTCCGTCTCACTGTCAGGAAGAAATGGAGAAGAAATGTGTTTAATTAAATAAACACAGTAAGTGTTATAGTTTCTACTGCTGTTTTTCATGATGGCTGATGTATGTTTAGGATTAATGAAATGTGGCTCATGTAGGTCATACATGACTTGCGGTTTGCTCTGGATCTCCTCCTCTCTCTGGGCTGAGCTCTGGGTCCTGGACCCTGAGTGGCCGACCTCACGATGCGCTCCATGATCTCGTCTGCATCGTCTTCTCCACAAATCTGTTTCTCCTCCACGGCCGGTGTAGAAGCCTGCATAGTTCGACCTGCAGCAGTGGAGCAGATGTGTATAAATGTATCTGCACTCGCTGAAAACATCTCCCAGAATGAAGGGCCGTGTATTTAACTTCCTGTCGTCCTCACCTCCTCGTCCAGGTCGTGATCTTGTGCGTGTCCTAAGCCCTGGTACCCCAGTGGCTTCCCTGTCACATCCACTCAAACTGGTTCTCAGCACTGCTTTCATGTTCTCGTGCTCTGCGGCGTCCTGAGCGTGGCTGAGACCTTGAGACTGCTCGGGTTCTTGGTTGACACTAGGGGCACTGTTGCTGGAGCCATATCGATTGCACTGGAAAAAGAAAATAGAAGGAAGTGAAAATGTGCCAAAACCTTCAGGTTAGACTCCACCATGCAAAACCGTAAACACCCAACCAGGGTGAACATCCACCCTGCAGAAATTAACGTGGCAAATGGGAATAATCCAGTCAAGTGTCAGGTGAAAGGGAAACATTAAGGTGAAGTAACAGTAGTTAGTAGTCAGCATGCACGTACACACACTCAACCAACACACAAATTCAGACAGGCAGCATTCAAATGTATACCTCACTCTCGTCTTCATCATCAGACTACAAGAGAAAGAACGAGCGAAGAAAAAAAAGTAGAAGGTATAGAAAGTTAGAGTTGAAAGGCAGAGAGTGTTTCCTGTGTAAGTGATGAAGTGGGAGTTCTTCTTACAGGAGCGTTGACGTCCATGATCATCTTCCCTCTCGTCTTGTTGCGTTCACGGTGGTCGGCTCTTTTCTGTTTCTGCTGCAGAACCCGGTCTCTGGTGGTCCGGTACTCCAGTGCAAACTCGCTGAGGATCTTACTGAACCTGTGGACACTGATCTCCCTCACACTGTAGGCTGGATGGCCCAGGAACAGCAAGAATGAATGGAACCTGAGAGGAGGTTTATCACAGATTTATCAGAACCTTGTCAAGAATGGTGTATTACATTAACAGAGTCATTATAAGAACATCAATAAGAAAAACAAAGACAGCTATTGGGCGCCACCTGTTGAGGATCCTCCGGTGCACAGTCTTCAGGATGATAATCCTCTCTGCGCAGTCCTTGAGGAAGTCAGACATCTTCTGTTTCAGCAGGGGCTTCATCTCATGCTTCGCGATCACTTTGAGGTGATCCCATGAGGCTTTGCAGCGTCGCTCCATCTGACACAGGTTTTCCTGAAGCTGGTCAAAATCAACCTGAGGGAGGGGACGTTTGGAGCCATGAGTACCATGGAATATTTTGAATATTTGTACAGTACGTATGAGACCTACTTTCGCAGACCGCGTGATGGCTCCAATCTCAGAGTAAAGGTCCGTGCTCTGAGGGAAGTTCTCCACCACCGCAGAGCAGACATGATGCAGCAGAGACTGTTTATGCACAGTATCCTTCACTTCCGGAACCTTCTCCAAGTATGTCATCTCAAAGCCTTTGGCCTAAACACACACACAGACGGTTTTTGTTTCTGTATTAAAAAACCTAATGTTGGTGACGTGAAGACAAGCGTCCCGTCACGACTCACGTTCGTGCCATTCAGGAAGTTGCCGATGGCGAGAAGTGTAGAGAGGATGTAGCGCAGGGTTTTGTTCTTCTCCAGCTGCTCCATACCTTCCTTCAGATCCTGCAGCGGCTCGGCTACTTCCTGTGCGGAGGAAGACACACACATGCTAATATGTACAGTATGTGTACCCCATAATGTTTTACTGGGCTATTAGTCTATTCAGGAGGTGAACAGGTGCACCCGTTCACCTTATACGTCACGCAGGAAATCATCTGCTCTCAATTTAAAGAGACGGACGTTTCTCGAGAATGTTGCCGCACATTTACTCCTTGTTTTCTTGTCTGCCTGACGAACAGCATGTTGTGTTTTATTGGAGCTCTCGTCCACCGAGCTCTCCTGATGGCACCTCTACTACGAACGCATATGGGAAAGCGTGCTTTTTTCGTGGAGAGGTTAAAGACAACAGCATCCTGTGGAAAGCCATAAAATTTATGGGACAGCGATTGAGGGACAGCATGTTTTTCATTGTCTCAGCTCGGCTTTGAACCCTCTCCTCTTCTGGACGCGCTCGCTGCTTGAGTGGAACATGCTGTGCCAGGAGGAGAGGACGAGATGCCACTAAAAGCTTGTATATTTAGTTATGATGCTATGGTGCAACAATGGTAATGTTTTGCGGCTGTTGCTTGCATAGAAGGGTCCAAGTTGTTGATACTGACTGTCATGGACATGATGCACACATGCAGTACACATTTACTTACTTTTAAAAAAAAAAAAGAAAAAGATTTTAGTACCAGTGTCTGTTTCTGTTTGGATGAGTTTATAAACCGAGTTTATATGATTTTGTGTTTCGCAAAAGCTTTGGTCTTTCTTTTCTAATGAAAGTCTTGTTCCAATTTTTTTTTTTTCCATTACTTTCATTTTATCTCACGTCCTCATCTGTATAGGAACTGTCCCGCGTTTTGGAACGCACCTTCTCGGTTGCCTCATAGTCCATCTTGAAGGCCCATAGTTGGAGTCGTGCTGAGAGTTCGCTGATGGACGAGAGCGTGAGCAGAAACTGTTCCGCGGAACCAAGTGGGGTGTCAGGATTGGCCAACTGAGCCTCCTGGATCTTCTGCTTCTCCTCTTCGGTTGGGATCATGGTCAGAAGTTTCTGAGGGACAAAAACCATGAACACAATATGTTAAAACATAGAAAGATGAGCTTCTGTCAAAACAGCTCCCATGAACCTCTCACCTCTATTCCCTCCTTGTTGAGCGCATACTCATCGAAGTTCACGATAGCTGTCTTGATGGTGCGAGGAGGGGGCAACACCGTCAGGCCGATATTGATGGCGTTGCTTCGCTTGGAATCCAGCACAATGATCTCTTGGCGCTTGCCGTCCGCCGCCGTTTTCTAGGTCACATCAAGACACAGGGTCAATCTTTGGTCTCCCTCTGTCTCCACTTACCGCTCCTACTCTGTCTCTCATCTCCGTGTGGTCTGTTTTATGGGCTCTGAAGGATTAGAGGGATCGCAGGTTTGCACTCCGCGCTGCAGAGACCGCACGGTCATTAAGCACAGGAAATACCGTTACACGTTAGCGCTGTGTGACATGTGCGCGCAGACATGCTGTCACTACATACGCTGGGATGATCTCAACACAACTGGAGGCTGTGGAGAGAGGGAGAGTCATAACGTGACACCGCATCATGTGCAACAGAGCAGATGCTGAAGTCATAAACTTAAAACCATTTTATTGGCTAGTGATTAGTTAGCATTTTAAAAACAGTTTTATAGAGCATTTCCCAATTGATTTTGATACAAAGCCAAGCATTTAAAAAGCTAAGCTAATGTTTGGGCTTCAACGTTGTATGTGTTTACATATACAACGTTGATGGCTGTTTATTTTGACGTCTAATATATAATATAATATATAAATTAATATATATTAATATATATATATATAAATATGAGTCCAAAATAAAAACATGACAAAATGTAAAAGTGCAATGTTTAAAAGGTAAACACTAAGAGCTACACCTGACAAGCTATGGCACATGGGCCAGATATGGCCCACTGGGCTTTCTAATCTGGCCCGCCAAACACTGGTACAAGGTGTGGTAAAGACTGAGGTCAATGTCACTAGATGGTGGTAGACGTTGAATGTGCCAGATATTATTTCACCCAGCATTCCACATCCAACCAATTCTGAACCAGCCCACCGGTCAAATGTTGAACCTCACTTTGGTCCTAATGTTTTCGTTACCTGTTTGGCCTTGGAGACCACCATCACAGAATCCCAGCTGAGACACTAGGGTCACTAAAGCCCTGCTCAGCTCCAGCTAGAGTTTAAGGGTTTAAGCAGTGGCTCAAGAGTTAAAAGTGTGACATACCTGACTTCAGCTCTGCTCTTTACAGAGTCCACATTTTTCTCATTAAATGGCTCGGTGAGAATCATAAAGGATTTCACACTCCTGCATACACGGCCGTGCCTAAATCCTAAAATAACAGCTTATCAGAACAGGGGATAATATGCACTAAACCTATAGACTTCATGGCTTTTGAGGTGGAAAAAAAGTGTTAATGTGGCAACGATTAGAGAAAATACAGTACACTGGAATAACAGCGTAAGAATGTTTAACACCAGCAGTTGGCTTGTGACCCAATTTCAGCATCAGCTTCAGTTTGTCGTGTCCCGACCCCAAGGTTGAAAATCACTGGTTAAAAAAAAAGAAGCGCCCAGCTGCTGTGATGTGGACGACAGTTTGTTTACCTTTGTAACTGGCATTTCTTTCGACTTGGACTCGAACAGTTGTTCCAGTTTCGCCGTGTCCACCTTCACCGGTTCGAGTTCGGACCAGAGGGAGTCTCCGTTTCGCTTGTAGTCTCTGTACTGGGAGTCTGTGGGACGCACCTGTTCACGAGCACAACCAGAACAACACGCATTAAGTGGAGACATGTGCCGGGCCTTCCATTTCCCATAATAAATACAGTGAACCAGACAAAAGGGACCTCTAATAGCAGCCACATGAACATGCTCGATGTGAGTCACTGATGTTAATGGTCCTTTGTGGAAACAGACGTCCTTTAATGAGCTCTCCCTGCTCACCTGCAGGATTCTAAGTCTTTGAATCACCCTTAATGAGCAAAGTGAACGCTGCACGCTTCAGCCCAAACAGGGTCATTAGTGTAATCAATTTGATATAATTTTGATTATTAGTCATTAAGGCAGTTTTGGGAAACACTTTTTCTTATCTAGTCCACCGTTTGTTCAAACTACCTACATGTGTCTGGTGGCGACTCACCTCACTCCAGAACAGCCTGATCGTCTTCTTCTTCTTGTTGAACAGAGGTGGCTCCGGAGGTGGAGGCACCGGGATAGGTGCGCTAAAGGTAGGAGGAGGCGGAGGTCTCCCTATCCCTAGCAAGGGAGGAGGCGGGGGACAGCCTCCGAACCTGGGCGGGGGTGGAGGAAAACACGGCGGCGGAGGAGGCGGGGGCGGGAGGTCGCCACATCCGCCCATCAAAACAGCATCAAGGATGTCCTTGTCGTCGTCCTCCGTCAGGTCGGTGAAGTTGATGTCACCGATGCGCAGCTCACGTGGGCTGGCCAGGAGCTGGTCCCAGATTGTGTCCGATTCCTTTTTAGGTGGAGGGGGAGGGGGCTCGTTGGCAGGAGTGTCTATATGGGAGAAGGGCGAGCCGAGGTCCTTGATCAAATCTCCGAAGCGTTCAGCCAGTGGTCGGATGCCGCGCCTCTGCTCGGATTTGTTGCTCTCCTCATCGTTGCCGGGCCTCTCCTTATCGTCCTCCTCCGTTTCCTTGTCTTCCTTTCTTTCTTTTTCCTTCTCCGCATCTTCTTCTTCCTCCTCCTCATTACTAGGCTTCTTGTTCTGGGAGTAAAGCATGTCCAGCATGAAGAGTTTGCTGTTGAGAAGTTTGCTGCCCTGCTCGTTCTCCTCTGCCTCCTTTAGGCCTAGGAAAGGGAATAAACAAAGAAGTAAATAAATTAATAAATTTAAAAAAATAATTTTTTTTTTCATTATTTTTACCCACCGTCCTCATTGCTCCCCCTCTCCTCTCGTTCCAGAGTGCTGCTGGCTGAGGAGATGCTGGAGGCCGAGCAGTTGTCTTTCTCATTTACTTCCTCATTCTGCCGTTCCTTGTCACTCAGGATGCCCGTGTCCTCCTCTGCTTCCTCCTTGTCTTTTTGCTGTTCCGGCTCGCACTCCTCTTCTTCTTCTTCCTTGTCCGCTGTCGTTTCCTCTTGTACTTCCTCCTCTTCTTTTTGCTCTTCCTCCTCTTCTGCTGCAGCCTCTTCTTCCTCCCCCGTTTCTACACCGATCGCGGAATCGTCAGCTTCGCCTGCCACAGATATTTGAAGTTGCTTATGCCTGTGCCATCAGTCAGACAGCTAAATGTAACACGGCCGCCTTTGATTTTAAAGGCGCCCTTGTTTGATTCTGCACATGGGCGCACTATACGGATCGACACAACCCTCAGAAGGAAAAACAAAAACACACGCCCGTACACCAATGTAAACAATATAATGCGGGCACAAAGCCGGCTTGTCGCAGCATCAGGATACGAACAGGAAATGAAGAATTAAGTTCCTGTTTACGTCAAACACCCCGGTGTACAGCACAGGCCGTGCAGTGATGTGGGTCAGCTTAGAATAACACGGCTCTGTGAGGCCTCGGCGCTGCAGTACAGTTGGCCGCGCACGCTCCATAAAACAAGGCTCTTTTTACATATGTGTGATGTTTTGACATCGCACGTTCAAGAACACCTCTGTTCACCCTTTAACCTTTCACCTCCTCTCTGTTCACTTTCCATTTCAATTTAGCATTATTCACATCTGCCTGGTTATTGATTCTATGCTAATCATATTTTCCTCTTCCTCATCAGTTGTCCTACCAGTCTCGGTGTGCGTGTACTCAGCGTCGGGGGTCTCAGCTTCCAGGTCGGCCTCTGTGTCCTCCTGCGAGACAAAGGAGGATGGGCTGCTGCTGCGTGATGATGAGGGCCAGGATTCGGAGGGAGTAAAGTTCAGGCTGAGATCAGGGCGAGTTCTCGAGACCCGGACGCGTTCCTTTCCGTACTCCTCCGCTGCAAGACGATCCAAGTTCTTATACCTGATGGAGAGAGGAGAAGGAATTTTACATTTACCCCACACTTATACTTCTCTCAAGTCACAAAAGGACAGAAGAAGAAGAAGATTAATTTGGCTTCTGGAAGGCAGAAATGAATCCTGAAACCTGTCCAAGATGTACTACAGTCCTCCAGCCTCTTTCTTGTCCTCCATCCTCCAGTCATCGCTCCCTCTCCTCAACTTCCAACCTGTTGACCTGAACAAGTTGTATGCCACTAACTCAACCTCCCCTCTCCCTTTCTTTCACTCCCTGGCTCCTCCTCTTTCCCACCGCACCATGAATGTGTGGAGCTTCTGTTTGGACTTCATTAGCATAAGACTCCAATCCAGAGAACCAAAGAAAGTGAATACTGAGACATTGTATTTGTAAGTGGAAACAGATACCAACACTAGTGGGGGAATATATAAAAAAAGAATGTACACATTCAAATCCCAATGATAACATAAGGATTTTAATCTCACCTCAGCTCATATATGGCTGGTTAGTTCCTGTCTATTAACATAGAATTATTAAAACTACTAAACTTGTGTCTGTATTCAGCATAAAAACCCTAATGATTCAGCTTTGAAGGCAGCCAAAGAGATCAGGATCCTAACAGGCTGTGGCAGTGAAAACAGACAAAAAACAGACAGAGAAAAACCATCCCTGCGATCAAAACAGAGCTCTTCAGAAAGACAAGAAACAGACAGAGAAAAACCATCCCTGCGTCCCCCTCCCCGCCCCAGCCTTTGGCAGCAAACAGCACCTTTTTAACCTGAAAACAATTACACTATTACTGAGCTTCCCAAACTAGATTCACGAACACATTCCCCGTTCTGAATCCAGCTGTGTTTAACAGGGTGTTGTTTTGGTTTAGTGAACACGCTTACCTCTCCTCCCGGGCATGCCTGGCCTCTTCCATCTTATCCACATAGTCGCGGCTGAGGAGGAGACAAACACACGTTTTAAAGAACAATAATAATCGTATTATATATCGAATATATATATATATATATATATATATTTATATATATATATTTATATATATGTATATTAATACAACTCTTATACAGACTTACACTGTGACTCACCTGTGCTTATTTCTCTCCTCTCTCTCGATCCTCTGCAGTCTCTCCTCTCTCTCCACACGGCGGCGCTCACGCTCAGCTGCCAGGGATTCTTGATGTTGGCGATAGGAGGACGATAGAAGACCTCCAAGAGCAGGCCTGAAGGAAGGAGGAAATAATTGAATCATTTTATCATTTTAACTTAAGGAAATAAAAGGAAAATAAAAGGAAATAAAATAAAATAAAAAAGTAAAATACTGTAGCATGTTCAGATATGATGCTTTAGCAAACAGTGTTTGGTGTAAAAATAGTTCCTAGGTTCATCAAAAAGATTTACATTTTGCGGCTTTACAACCATGTTACACCCCTGATGTATATGGGTGTTATTTATGCCTATTCATGTATTTATATTTACCAAACATAAATCAGGTTTGTGTCTCAACTAAGTAAACACAGAGTTTGGAGGGATACTTGTATTTTTGTACAGCGCCCTGGGACCATAAACCTACAGTACGCAGATTGACTAAGGCTTTATGTGAAGCTTCCACATCCATGGAGATCCTAGAGATTTATTCTCCCTTTAATATAAAACAAAAACTCAAGTTTGTTTCTGTGGAAAAATCCAACTTTACTTAGTGAAGTATGTCCAAAATAATCACCAAATGTATTATAAGTATGACATTTTTACATGTGGTGTATGATTTTTTTTTTTATTGGACCATAGAATATAAGCTCATGTTGGCTCTCACCTGGAGCTGGAAGGTGAAGTCGGAGTCCCAACTGAAGAATAGGACGTGAAACCTCCATTTCTAAGTACAAGAAAAGATGAGAGAAAAAAAAAGAAGAAAGTGACGGTGAGTGATTGACCTCTGCAGTCGTCTGGTCACCTGACACCAGACTGACTGATCAGTGACCAACTTTACAGTAACTGTGAAGACCATATGACACCTTGTTACATAACAGGAATGCTTCTGGTGCAACACAGGAGTCACCCTTAATGGAAACTGCTGTAGTTTAAGTCACATTTTTTAAGAAAGCAATGATGCATCCTGGGAATGTTATTCAATGAATCCATGGGCATAGAAGCAAACCTGTTAAATTAAATTATATTTAATTCAAGAAAAAAAGGGAGAATAAATTAATATTAAAGGATGAGAAAAGATCTGTGAAAGAAAAGAGATGACATACAAGTGATGACATCAGAGAAGTACTGGTGATTTAAAGTGGAGATTTCAAACAAGTGCCGTGAAAAAAGGAGTGATACAAGCAGAAAAGAAGTCCTGTTAAGTGCAGTGACAGACTGAAGGTGAAATATCAAGTGAGATTTTTTCTTTTTTTTTTTTTTAAGTAAAGCAGTGATGAAGAAAGGTCGTGCAAGGAGATCCTGAGTGGTGCCATGTGAATAAAAAGGAAAGGAAGTGAAAACTGCAGAGAAGAATCAAAGAGAAAACAGGAAAAGCATCTGGTGAGACACAGGTCCTGCCGTCTCTCTGACCTTGGAGACGTTGGTTTCGGAGATTCTTTGACCGGAGCCGACGGCTCCTCATCAAGGTCGTAGGAGAAGAGGTGGAAGGGAGAATGTGGAAGGTAGGGCAATCGATCTGGGTGAGAAGGACTAGAGCTGCCTCGTGGTGGCGGGCTAACCTCGGTGCTAGCGGGAACGGTTACCGAAGACCTTTTCCTGGCCAGCAGGGTGGCCAGAAGTGAGGGCTGGGGAGGGGGGCTGAGAGGGGAGGATGCAAGAGATGAAGAAACAGGAGAAGTTGGAGAATTCTGGGAAGATGCTGGAGATGATCCGCTGGGTTTCTTCTCTTCTTCCAACTTGGAATTATCCTTCCTGGTAGTAATCGTGATGGTCTGGATGGTCGTTCTGTGAACAATGGACGGAATGGATCTCGGCGAACTAGGGAGAGAGGAGTGGATCGAGAAGGGATGCATGGATAAAAGAAGAACTGGACAAAAAAAAAAGATAACATATTGGTATACCTTACAACTGCAAATATATTACTGTTCAAATAACCAAGGTTTGAATAGGAGATTTCATTTCAACCAGCTCCTCAAATACCTGGGAAGGATTAGATTAGACACTGTATCAGAAACTGGCTGCTCGTCTGAGTCAGACTCAGTCACCGGAGTCTCCTCCTCCTCCTCCTCCTCCTCCTCCTCCTCTTCCTCATCTACTCCTTCCTCACATTCCTCTCTGCGGAGGCGAGGAGGTGGATGCGCGGATAGGTCAGGAGGAAAACGAGCGGGATGCATTCAAGGAGATATGATGTGATGAATGAGAACGGCATGCAAACAAATAATCAAAACAAATAAAAAAAAAGAAAGAAAAAAGATGCAACACAGGTGAGGAACAGATGGGTTTACAGCTGCATGACCGAATCTTGAAAAAAAAAACAAAAACAAAACTTCTTTTGAGAGAAAAAAATGTCAATAAAGTGGTAGGAAAACAAAAAGAATGAGATAAGACAAGACAATGAACATAATGACAGTGGGATGAATGGTTCTGATTACACACTCTGTGCCTGGTTAGAGGTCCCTGCATGCATATACAGTATGAAGAACACGTGCTGACTGGGACTGGGGAAAGGAATGGAATCCATGGCTGAACGACTGACCTCAGACCAGTGCCACCAAACACTGTTCTGTAATGCTAACAGATTAGCCCGTTTCGCATTGTGCAACACTCCTTTTATGTCCATGTACGCGTAGAACCTGCACCAGAAGGTTGCTGGTTCGTCACCTTGTAGAAAATACTTCCAAACCCTTCAGCCATGCGCGTCTGTCTCACAGCCGTTGTTTTATTAATTTAGCATTTTCTCCGTGAACCACGAAAAACACAGCCGGTGTGATCAGTGTCACATTATAGTCGTCACAGCACCAAGGTGAGAAGCTGCAGTAGTGTTACGTTAATGGGTTGACCCTAACCCATTTTTAAGTGACCCTTTGAACTCACATGGATGGAAGGAAACCTGACAGTGCCCTAGAGCAAAGAGTGACAGCACAGGACGGTCAACTGTCTCTCCCTCTGAGCTACGGTAACATGTGCCACTCCGAAGACGTCGAATGTCTCACCTCTCACTCGTGTCCTCGGCTCTGTGGCCATTAAATGGCTTGAAGCCGGCTCTTTGCGGGGACGCTGGACTGCACGGGGAGGCGTGACCAGAACGTCCCAGAGAGGCCCTACGGCTCCGCCTCCTCTCCAGGCCGGGCCTTTTGTCCCCGCCCCCGAGGCTGGTTCGTCGACGGTCTCTGCGTCCCGTAGGTGGAGGCTGGCTGTCGTCGTCACCGTCTTCATGCCGCAGAGTCATCTGGGAAAGACAAGAAAGAGAGCTTCAAAACTAAAATTGGGTTTCTAACAAAAAATAAATAAAAATACTAGATGAAATGATTGATGATGATTTTCTTTTACCTCATAAAGGTTGAGTTGCTCGACCAGGTCCAGATCAGTGCCTCGGCGGCTCAGGTGTCTCTGAGACACCGTCTCCATGCACTGTTCCTCCAGACCATCCACCATGTCGTAAAAGGAATCCTGGTCTGGCAGCGAAGCAAGTGTCTGCAACAGAGAGAAAAAAAAAAGGAACTAAAATCAAATATTCATTCGACCTTCGGTCACATAGTTGTTAGTAGTAAAATAGTAATAGAATAAAAAAACTAACTCTTATAAATGGATCTCCCATATTTATACACAGATAAATCACTGGACTAAATATAAGCAGGGAAAGCTTTAGCATACAGACAAGAAGAATCTAATACCTTATTGATGAGAGTCATAGCATACACCAGCAGCTCTGTGTCCACGCCGTCTTTCTCCTGTAGGATCTCCATAGTATTGGACCAAGGCTTGCCACCTGGAGAAGAGGAAGTTGACATCACCAAATCAGGGGAGTTAAAAAAAAAAAAAGCAGAGTTTGATTGGACAGATTTCTTTACCTCTCTTATTGTCCACAGTCGTGATGGCTTCTATCAGCAGCGGAGCGTTGGACTCGGAGTATTCCACAAAAACCAACAACAGCTTCAGAGCCGTTTTTACCACCAGACGAAACTAAGGGAAGAATTTAGAAACAGTATTTTTACATGATAAATTGAGTATAAAAACTAAACAAAAACAACATCATGGCAGGTCTGAGGGCACTGGAATTAAACAGGTACTTTCAGTCCAAATACCACGGCACCACAAAGCCATGGAACTGCACTAGCCTCAGGTCAGGACACAGACCACAACCAGTAGCAGATGAGGTGTTTGTTTGTCATAAAAGGTCCAAACGAACGCTCTCTTAGGGGTTAGGAGGTAACGACTGCGTCCGAACACTTGGTGGGGAGTGACGTAAGTTCTTAAAGCATGTCAACATACAGTACCTTAGAGCCGACCAGAGCGTACAGCCACTGGATCGTCTCGGCGTGACCGATGACACCGTTCATGCCGTCCACGTACAGCATGATCTGACCCATAGCTGAGAGCAGGGCGAGAGAATCAAAAAGTGAGAGGATTAGATTTGAAATGTAATGGACATTAAGTTTGATATCGATCTTCATACAGTCGCAGCAAAAAAAAATTTTTATGGAAAGGGAAATGTTTTCAGTCGGTTTTTTTTAGGTAAACGGTTCTATCCAGGGACCACAAATCCTCTGCTAACTGCTGTGAGATTTATCACTTGGCTGCTGTGAGCTACTCATTACACAATTAACAGAAAACATAAAAAGTCCAAATTACACTTTGCATGGAATTATTATTCAGGACACGTGTTTGAGACAGGAGAATGTGTAAAATGGACAATTTTCGAGCTTTTATTCAAGTAAGGAAATAAAATTGTATGTCATGAATATTTTAAATAATGCCCTTATATACTGTATTTCAAAAATGTATATACCTCTTAATATATAGTTCTGGTAGTTCTGGTCGGCTTCTGCTCCAACTTTGATGAGACATGTCAGACCTTCAGCCATCACAAACTCGTGGACCAGATCTTTGTCATCCTGATGGAAAAACAGAGCTTAAAGTACAAAAAAGTACTGAAATAAGGTCTAATTTATCCTGGTACCACAAGGTGGCAGTACAAATGCACACTTTGCTTTCAGGATTAAAGACCCACAAACACTTAAACACGTGTCAAAGATGTCATTTGCAGTTTCTTTTTTGTACCCTGTAGTTAGGGGAGAACTCACACAAAGAAAGATGAGAATGAATTCATGTACTACTGCAAAAAGACCCACTAGGAACCTTACAAGTGCAGTATAGATGCAGTAATTCAATTGGAGAGTTAAGCTAAAAGGTGTGACAAGGCCGTGTATTGCCATTGGTGTATTTGTAATTATTTATATTTACGTCTTTGGGGAGTTTCACCAGGACTAGACCCTGACACAAATGCTGTTCTAATTTCATTTTCCACACACACTCACTCACTCACACACACTCACTGAAGTGTACATAATCACACAGGGACAGAAATGCCACGTTGATGGAGATTCCCTGTCATCATGGAAGAGCACGGCGACCGCGGTGACCAACTGTGTTCTGCAAACGGACTGTAATTGGGTACGAAATGTGCATGTGTATTTGTGTCTGTGTTTACCTGAAAGATTTGCTTTAAAGAGAACAGTGCTCGTCTCAGGTCCCGGCCGTTGGAGTTATACAGTCTCTCTGCAGAAAGAAAGGGAGGGAGGGGGGAGGGAGAACACGTAAGTTATAAAAACTCATCTACGACTGATGTAATGCCGTGTGTTTCGTTCAGAAACTGTTTGGACTGCACATCTTTCATCCCATCCTACATTTCATTCCGCTGACAAGATTAATAAAAACCTTTCAGCAGAATGAGTCTCAGCTGTGTGCGGCGGTTGCGCAACAGCTGAACGTGAACGGGGGGGAGAGAGAAAGGCTACATGTTTGAGGAATCAGTCCCAGGGTTTGGCTGTGATCACCTGAGGCAGCCACTCCATCATACAATTCCAGCGTATCCTCACTCGAGAAGCAACACGTGCAGAGTTTCTCCGTCTAACTCTACACACACTAACAGTAGTGATTAAAGCAGTATAGGAATGTTAATGAGCTGCTGGCACAGATTCAACGGTGAGGTATTCAGGTCACTGCAGTGAAACCATTCTGCACAGATATTTAGCCTCAATGTCACTGTCGTTCGTCCCAAGGGTCGAGTGAAATATCTTTGGTCTCATTTCCTGTTTGTCCAAATTTCTTTTTTTTTCTTTTCTTTTTTTGATTAGCTCTCTGCTACAAACGTCGATAGCATTTTATGATGTGCTTGTTTTTGCTATCATTTCAACTAATTTCTTAGCCCACAGCTTAACCTCAGTACCCGGCAATATATTACACATCATATATCAAATATATTCTCATTGTCTAATACAAAGAGGAGAAAGCAGGACACCGAGCACCGTCCCAGAATATGGACTTCCCACTAAGTGGCTCTGTGATGGACAGGGCTAAGCCACGGCCTGGGTCAAAGTCATTATCATTCCACAAAGAGACAAAAAAAAAAAAAAAAAAAAAACAGGCCTTTTTTTTTCAGGGGGATTTTTTCAACCATTACTGCGACTGAAAATCATGTTAATCCTCTGTGGATGTAAGCAAATATTCAAAGTCTGTAATAATAATAAGCCGTCCCCTGTGTCTGACAGACGTCAACTGAGTTCCAGGAAATCAAGTTAACACTTTGATCGGGGACCACAGTGTCTCACTGGTTCCTGTCCCTCATCAAACAGAAGTGAGGCCTATCAGCGTAACCTTTACCGAAATATCTGCTCGGCGTCAGGAGCACGGTGCCGACATGAACTTGGCTTTAAAACATTTATAAAAGATAAAAGAGGAAACGAAATTGTCATTAAAAACAACACACAGTAAAGATATCAGATATCAGTCTAAAAAAAGCAGTCAGAGCTGATACATCCTGAACAGGGGAAAACTTAATGGAGGCTTTTTTAAAAAAAAAAAAAAAAAAGCAGCAGATTTGTACAAGCTCTTTATAAACTCTATTATTATTTTTTTTTATACATAACCCCCCCCAAAAAACAATACAGAGAGTGTGTGAAACTGCACCATACTGGTCCACTTGAATACAGGGGGCAGCCAGAGTTTTGTGTGAACAATGGATGGCTGTATTTTGTAAGAGCAACAACAGAGTTGTGATGCTATTATTGCTAACAACAGCGATGCTATTATTGCTAAAGAATATAATTAGGTTTGTGGATATGGTTGGAATAACAGTACGGATTTTCTTTATTTACATTTGTGATGCATTATATGAATGTGTTTATACGCAGCGCATCCACCAGTATATTTAAAAATGTCCATTTCAAAAGAAAACCTACAATAAACTACAAGCCGAAAAGTAAGGCGATCTAAATCCGTGGAGGAGAGAGCAGAAAAAGAAACATTTTTCAAGCGAGTTTTTGTGTCTGTCCACGTGTCTTCTGCGGGTCACTCTCCCTTTTTTTTTTTTTTTTTTCCTGGCAGTCCATGATATTATTGTCACAAGAAAGAGCTGGGATGTGTCATTGTGGCGAGAGCATGTGCTGGTACATGGCGTGAGCACGCAGCCGTGTGTAAACCAGAGCTTTTGTTTTCTCAGGAGGAGTAAGACGGTGGAAGGGAAGACAGATGGGCTCGATGCTATTTAGAGGTTTACAGTGTTGTTTTGAAAAAAACAAAACAAAACAAAAGGCCTCGCAAATATTGACCGCGCTTTCGTCGCGACCTCGCACGCACCGCGACCTGTCAGCCTCAAGGAATCACTGAGTTCGAGGTCCGCTTTAACGTCGTCATTATACTTGAATTACACTGTCACTTCTGTTTAAAATATCCCACTTTAATAATAGAATATAATGGATAGATACAGTTATCAACAACATTACTCAGACGACTCAGGTCTCAGCTGGTGGTCCTGAATTAAAGCCAAGAGTCATAAGTGCTGACTCATGTTCCAAAAAAAATTCCATTGCTGTCTGAGCCAATCAGACGGTTGGCCTCAAACTGGGTCTTCAGCGTGATCTCAGGGGTGAACCCGAACGGTGGCACACTGCTGAGCTTAGTTTAATCCCAGGAAGTCATTCCTTCTCGGTGCTGGTATCGTGCTAAATATAGCAGGGTCGGGTAACAAGCAGTAGAGTACAGTAGCAAGAAGTAACCTGGGTTCAAACCTCAAACCTATTGAGTTAAATGTCATTTTACTATTTTTATTTGATTGTACAGAAGTCTGGACACGGACTCGGTGCCTGTAGCGGTTCTCAGTCAGAACTGACGAGTAGCCTCTGCGCTAATGTGCCGTTATGTGGTATTTCCTCCTCTCCTGTGCAATGTAATATCAATAAATCTTGGGTTAAACGAATAAATACTGTATCAATCTGTCATGTGCTCACACTGTACGGGCAACGATGCATGGTTTCACTCTCACATCGAGTGAAGTGAGAGGGAAAAGCTGGCAGGCGGCAAAGGCCAGAGTAGAGCGCTGAGGACCAGTGGATTATTCTGTGACTTTCTATATTTTGCCTGTTGGTCTTGGACCAGTGTGTGTGAGCACTGGAGGATGTTGATGGTACAAATGACGACATGAGCTTCATGTATGTGTGTATATATGTGTGTGTGCCTATTGGGAACGAGAGAAAAAAAGGAAGAGAGAGACCTCCGAGGTTTTATGGCGACAGATCTAGACAGAGTAAGTCTACAGCGGACAAGCTATCATATTTTTCTTCATTTTTTTCTTCAAAAGCATAAAGGCTAAAATGCTAAAATGCTTCTCTACGCCATCTATAGGGAAATCGGGGGCATTGCAGGGAAAAGGCAGAGGTATATTTACAATACAAACCGATTATATCATTTGGACAAGTTCGGTGGGCCGGATGACAAAGCCAAACGAGCCGCATTCGGCCCCCGGGCCTTAGTTTGCCCATAGATCTACCTGCTGGTATTTGCATTCTGTACCAGAAATATACAAAAGTTGACTAATTTAGAATAATCGTGGGTCTTTGAGGTGAGGTTGGA